CTTAAATCAGCCTGCATGAATAGTTTCTCTGTGGCTGCACCACAGAGATGAACAGAGAGATGAGGCCTAATTTGGGAAAGCTCCGAAACACTTAATTCTTTCTTATTAATAAGCCTCGCCGCTACACCTGTATATTTATTGGACCTCACTGGCATACTAATGAATTGAATAAATTATATCATCTGGGAGTTCAGTACAAACCTTTGCAGATGGCCTCACATGATAAAAAAAATATTTAGTCCATAATATACCTTCCATGCTTTCTCTGTGAAATTAAAAATACTGTACCTTGTAAGGTAACAGGTAGTTTCTGAGAATATTTACTCATTCTTTACATCTTTCTTTCTCTAAGTCAGAGATATTTCTCCCTTTTCACCCCTCTCTCAGATGAGCTGTGTCCCTGGTCTCAGTGGTCCGAATGCTCACGGAGCTGTGGCGCGGGGGTGTCATCACGGCAACGGACCTGTCTGTGTGAGGCCGGGAAGGAAGGAGATGTCAACTGTCCCCCCGAGACAGAGGGAGAGAGGAGGAAAGAGGAGACTCAGCTCTGCTATGTTCAGCCTTGCCCAGGTCACTGCACTCTGCTGAACACACAATTCCTAAATACACAGGTCCGCTGCTCCACACTAGCCTACAGTGTACTGTACATATTGCTACCTGAAATACTGTACACACACAACACTGCGACTGAAAAAGCACAGAGTTTAGAGTGGAGTTCCTCAGTGCATTTCTGTCAAATGGAAATAGTAATTAAAAGTTCTTATATTCTTTCGACTGTATTATTAACTACACAGATCACCCATACACCACATTCTTTCTACTCTCTCGTTCTGTTGTCTCATGATGTCTATTCACTATACTACAAAAAGGAGAGCAGAATTGGATGAGGCCAAGCTTAAAGTTGTTAAGCGCAACTTTCACATTAGCCGTACAACAGACTAGGATCGTGAGACAAAACTAGCTATTATAGCTAGCCAGTCACAAATAGATGTTTTTGTTTGTTTAGGCAATTTGTAAGATTTTCAAAGTACAGTATTAGCATTAATATAGTGGCATATAGCACAGGTCAAAGTACAACCACAATTACTGTATTCACAACACAAAAGTGAACTGTATTATAAAAGTTGAGTACAAAGTAGAAGTATAAAGTACATCAAGGTATCCCCTCAAACATACAGCATTCTGAAAGAACATCAATGCACACACAACACAGAGCTACAGTATATCAAACACACTGGAGTTAAATACTCAAAGTGTGCAATATAACCCAATGACCAATATCCCCTTAACTTTGTCTTCATCTGTCTGTGTGCAGACTGTCCTCTGTCTCAGTGGAGTGAGTGGACTCCTTGCTCCTGTGTCTCTCAGCGGCAGCAGAGGCATCGTGTATCTCTGCCTCCCACTTATAAGGGGCAGCACTGCAGTGAACTGCAGACACAAAGCAGAGCTTGCCAGCCCGGAGACTGCCAGAGTAAGATGTCTCTGCCTGTATCTGTGTTTCATTGTGTGTGACTGTTTGTTGGACAGTCTCTGTGTTAGACATTGTACAGTATGTGCATTGCTGCCTCTTTCTATTCTATTTGCCTTTCTGTCTGTTGTTTTCTCAGACACAGTTTTTCTATCTTTTGAACCTAATATTGTTTTGTTTGATAACACATACAGTAATTGTGTTGTGGGACATTGCTCTGATGGGCACACTGTCTGCACATTTCTGTCTCTGTGTGTCTCTGCTTTCCCGTCTAACACCAGGTCTGTATGTTTTAGAATGTGAGGAGCCATTCCAGTTCAGTGCTTGTGGCTCCCCCTGTGAGAAGCTGTGTGCACTGCAGGGACAGTCCAGGGATTGTGCTGGGAAGGGCCAGTGTGTCCCAGGCTGTTATTGCCCTCAGGTGGGTATTCTGTGATACTGCAAGCTCAAGGCACAATGCAGCTTTGTAGTCATCTTGCTACCTTGCTTTAATACATTGAAAGTGAGGATGTAATGGAGAGCCTGTGTGTTTTAGTTTGTAAATGTGTGTTTCAGGGTCTGCTGGAGCAAAATGGGACATGTGTTCCCCCAGAGCAGTGTGGCTGTGTACATCTCCTGTTCCCTGAGACCGGAAGGACTCCCATCGCCATCCGAGTCCAGGAAGGCACTCTGGTGAAATCAGGCTGCAGGAACTGGTGAGGGGGGTTGCTGGGAGGAGAACAGACATTGTTTTGGGATGCCAATCATCTCACACAGGAGCGAATTCTTATGTACTGTTGTATGGTTGCTCCACATTGTTCAGAATCACTTTGGAGTCTTTAACTGGTATTTCTTTTTTAAATGAGGTAGAGGCAAGTTTATTCTCAAGTGCATTCAGGTTTGTTTAAAGAAACAGACACTGTGCTACATTATAAGGAGAATTTAAGTTAAATAAAACTAGTGGAGAAATTGGTTGATTATGCCTATTAACTTTATATCAAGTGGCATACAGTAGTGTAATACTTGTTAGTGCCTGTTCCTCTTTGCTCTGGGGCTTGGGTCTGATTCTGGGTTAAGATACCTTCTAGGTGGAGTTTGCTTGGTTTTCTCCAAGTGTTTGTCTCCCTTCTCCTGAAATACACAGTTTAGGCTTGATTGGCTAATATACTGTACGTTGCCTGCTCAGGGTTTACTCCCTGATCTCATTAGCTGACCAAGCGTGGCATGATAGGCCTTCTTCCAATGCCAATGTGTGATATATGGAAGAACAAAGATTTAATATAACATCTTGGTCTAGAGATTTGCTTTTGAAAAATCTGACCAAAACTATAAAACTTCAAATCCAGCAACTTCAGTCCTACTTGACTTCTTGATCCAGATAAAACCATAGAAACCATAGTCTGATTTCTTTCTGAGTCATTTAGCATGGGTGGGATACCAAGGTCAAATAATAATTGGTTATACTTTAAATCTGCACTGTCAAGTGTATTGGAGAAATTGGAATATCACTAATCTGAATATGAGTAAAATTGCAATGATTTTTAAGCTTCTGTTTATTGCTACAAATATTACTTATAGTAGTTTTGTTCTTGTTACTATTGTTACCATTATTAGTAATATTGTGTTTCAAAAAACCATTGAAAAGTCAATAATTTATTGATTCATACAGTGCAAGAAAATATTAATAGTTTCTACAGTTCAGTACACATGTGGGTGAAGAAGTGCAGAAGAACACGCTCTGAACCAGTGTCCCACTCTAACCCTGTCCTTTGTTTCCCTGTGCATCATGAGAACAGCATGTGTCAGGATGGAGCCATGCAGTGTGACTCACAGCACTGTGAAGGTAATGCTCTTTACAGTTTCTGTTTGCAGGCCAGATATTGTGTTTAGTATTATAGCAGAGAGGTTTCTTACTTTTAGATTAGAGCAGTCAGGTGTGGGGGATCATCACATATATTAAGTTTAGCAACAATAATTAATCTAATTGAGAAAAAAGTATGAGAAATGATTAACTATAGAAATGCAATACATTGATACTTAGGCCTATGAACATAAAGCATTTCCCGCAGTTTAACACAAATTCTTCAAATTCTTTATTGTTTATTAGAAGGAAAGAAACTTGGTATGGTGGGAAATGTTTTCTGAACTGGCCTTCACCTACAGTGAAAAGCTTCTGTGGCTGTTTACAGCAACAGTGATGACAGTGACAATGATCGTGATTAAAAGCTGATGACAGAGGTGATAGAAGCAGCGATGACATGAAATGACAGTGATGCTCGTGACATGTCAGTGATGACTCTCCAGTGTCTTTTAGATGACACTGTCCTAACCCATCCTTGCTTTCTTTGTGCTTAGTGTCTCTCAGTGAGTGGTCAGAGTGGACACCCTGCTCCCCCTGCAGGCCCGTGGCATCTCTGCACTTGGTCACAGCACCTCTGCTGGAAGACAGGCAGTTGGTCTCAATACAGCGGCGATATCGGGCCTGCATGGACCTAGATACAGGGCTGCCTGTGCCAGAGGAGCCAGAGCAGTGTGGGGCAGACCTTGAGGAAGAGCAGGTCTGTGCAGACCCAGATGCCTGCAGAGGTAAGACATGAGCTCCTCTCATTTTTCTACAGAATTCAAACTTGTGTTTCAGAACACCTCATTTAAGATGAATATTTGATTGCTAGAAGAACTAAATGAACTTATGCCCACTCAGACAAAGGACAGCACGAGTAGCCTTATTTGGGGGGGGGAAACCCTTGGATGATATAGTTATTGTGGAGCCAGAGGGATTTATATCTGTGATCACGACACTGATGGTGTTAATGATCGTGTAGCTGACACCAAAATAAGCAGAGCTACAAAAAATTGAAGATGGCTTCAAAGCAGCATACAATGATAAGTGATATGTACATTACAGATTGTAAGAATCATTATGATTGATGCTATTTTTTAAGTATCCTGTGAAATTGTTTTTATTGTTTATTGACCAATTATTACTGTAATTCTCCAAACAATAAAGGCAAGCTACTGTATATGCCAGCAAATTAATGTCTAAAAGTATATGTGAGAAGTATAGAATATTTAAATCAGATTAAATAATGTTAAATTGACCTTACCTTTAGTTTATTGAGCACAATTTGTTCTCCTCCACATTAGAAATTACATCCTTGAAAGATTGGAAAGCAACTATGTTAATTTCTTGTCTTAGAGGTATTTCTTGAATACCAAAAGTATCTTAGAAGAACCTAATCTGTTCATTCTGTAAGAGTGATTGTTTTTAGACTTAGTGTTGACAAAGTTTCTATAATAGACTACATACTGTATGTCAAAATTATGTATCAGTGCTGCCTTTGTCATTACTGAACTGAGAACCCAAAGACACAAATGTAAAGAAGTGTATTTATGGATGCAAATAGGATCCGAACCAAGTCTTTATGCACAGGGTTGTGGGTGACTGGTACCAACTGCACAGACATGTTGTTGAAGCTGGCTCCCTGGGATCTTTCAGAAAAATGCTACTGTACACGAGATCCTTGGATTATTTTACTAATAATAGCCAACTACGAAAGATGGACATCATGGCCTCCCTGCCTTTGTTACAGTATATTCCAATCTTCTGTTTGCAACTAATTTAGACATATTTATAAACAGCTCATGCAATGTGATTTTGTTGCCAGACGAAGGAAAATTTTTGAATATCTGAAGGAAACATTAGTTTATACACACTGACTCACAAGAATTAAGATGAGTCCATACCAAGAAATGTATCAATCTTAATTTCTGCACAAAACCCATTTTTAGCCAAAGCATCTAGACAAATTCTGAAGGATTAATGAGTAATTGTCTTCTGCATGTACTCAAAATGTGTGCACTGTAATGTGGGAAAGGATCTGAATTGTATTAACACATTTCATAGTGTAAGCCAGCAGCTGCTGTGTTTTCCATGTTGACTGTGCTCAATTGTCCTTTCAGATGTGTGCCAGTGGACTGACTGGAGTCCCTGGAGCACATGTAGAGAGCCCTGCAGTGGGGGTTTCCGACAGCGGCAGCGGCACCCCCAGACCTCCGCCCCCATGCCCCACTGTCAGCACCCACAGTTCCAGACACAGAGCTGCAACACAGCACTCTGCCCAGGTAAGCACACTGATTGCTGTGGCTGTTAGGGTCAGAGTACTGACCCAACACCCCTGCCTCTCAGTAAAGAGATAAGAGAGCTGGTACAAACTGTGCTGACCCTGTTTGTGTGTTTCAGGGGAGCGGTGCGAGGACCGGGGGAAAGAGTTCAGGGCCTCCTGTGCCAATCAGTGCCCAAGGAGCTGTGCGGACCTCTGGGAGCATGTCCAGTGCCTACAGGGACCCTGCCACTCTGGTAATGGAGAAGACTGTCACTATGTCTTCAACGCTCTCTTCACTTTCACTGTGTCAGGCCATCACACTCTGTCCTGATTCCCTCAATCTCTATAAGCCTTCATCATCACTTTCTGGCAACAAGTTCACTTCCCTGAAATCAGTGTCTCACCCCGTCTCTCTTTTCATGTGCGAATTATCCTTCCTTTCCCACTTCTCTCTGTGAGTGTGAAACTTGTCTTCATGTCTGTCTGCCTATTCAGCCGTGCAAATCTGCACTGATGCTGCAGAACCTGATTTTGCATTTTTATTCCTTGATACTCCTTGTGTTGGTATGTCTCTCAGGGTGTCGGTGCGCAGAGGGGTGGCTGCTGCAGGACGGCTCATGTGTCCCAGTGTCGCAGTGCCGCTGTGGGGTCCTCAGGGAGAACGGCACCCTGGAAATACTGCCAGGAGAGAATGTAACGATGGACTGCAACAACTGGTGAGTGAGTTAACATAAGAGGAAGAGAGGAAAGAGAGAGGGAGGGATGGTGATAGAGGAAGAGAGCAAATGATAGAGGAGAGTGGAAAGTAGCAATGGGACAACTGACAAAGCTGGACTACCCGCCTTCATCTATCTCCCCTTCACTTTTTCTCTACTCCTCTACCCTTCTTCTGCTGCTATTTGCCTCTCCTTCTTATTCTCCTTATCTGTGCTCTGTCGTCTCCATTATTGCATCCTTGTCTCTGTACCTGCCCTCTCTCTCCTTTCTTGTGCTCGATACCTTCTCATTTCTCTCCCCCTTGTCCGTCTCTCTTTCTCCACTCTCACCTCTGTTTCTTTTTCTGCTTGCCTTGGTCTCTCACTTTGTAATGCTCTCCACCTTCAAACTCTCCGTCATCCCTCATCTCTCATTCCACTCTCCAGCTCTTGTGTGAATGGCACCCTGCTCTGCACAAACCTGAAATGCCCAGAATACAGTACCTGGAGTCCCTGGAGCTCCTGTTCAGCCAGCTGTGAAGAGGGGCAGAGGACCAGGACCCGCACTTGTCAGGAAGTGCCTGACAGCCTGCCCTGTGCTGAGACGTTCCAAACCGAACCCTGTCTGCTGCAAGCCTGTCCTGGTCAGTATGATGCCATTTGTCTTAGCCTACAGAATTCATAATCACATCTGCTGCTCAGGTCTTCATTACACACTTACATCTTCATTACTTAATAGACCTTGTTATTGCTGCACTGGGTTACAATTACCACATTCAAGGTCTGTAATCATGGGAGTTATGTGCCAGTAAACTCTAGAACCATTAATTAAACTTGCTTTTTTACAGTGGGCACGTGCTCAGGATTTCAGCGAGTATGTGTTCAGAGATAGGGCGTGTTTTAGTTTCACCATCAATATGTTAGATTTTGTGGTTTATAACAATAATTATAAATGTAAGCAATTTTCTGGACACTCCACTGAAAGTGCTTTACAGGTAATGGGGACTCCCCTTCACCACCACTAATGTGCAGCATCAACCTGGATGATGCTATGGCAGCCATAGTGTGCCAGAACGCACACCACACATCAGCTATTGGTGGGAAGGAGAACAGAGTAATGAAGCCAATTCATAGATGGGGATTATTAGGAGGCCATGATTGGAAAATTGGCCAGGATGCCGGGGTTACACCCCTACTCTTTTCAGGCACAGCTCAAGGATTTTTAATGACCACAGAGAGTCAGGACCTCGGTTTTACGTCTCATCCGAAGGACGGCGCCTGTTTACAGTATAGTGTCCCCGTCACTATACTGGGGCATTAGGACCTAACATAGACCACACACCTGCTTAGCTTCAGTGGGTTGCCAGTTGTGAATTGCAGGGTGATATGGCTGCTGATACAATGAAATACTCATCAGGACTTTGAGGTGGTTTCAGGTAACTGATCATCACCTGATGAGTATATCAGTGTGGTCTCAACTTTGTGGGTTCTTACTTTTTGGGTTCTCTCACTCCGATGTCCTCCTAACACACCTCAGCGGGCTGTGTGCTGAGTGAGTGGTCCTCCTGGAGTGAGTGCAGTGCCACTTGTGGTGGAGGAGTGTCTCTACGCAACAAGACAGTCTTAAAGGAGCCAGACCCAGGAGGACAAGAGTGTCCAGCCCCATTGGAGCAGCACACAGCCTGTAACACAGACAGCTGTGAAGCAGGTAATGCACTATTTCATACACGATGAAAAGGATTTTGATAAGGCAAGACTTTTCACTTGAGCCCTTTTCTCTGTCATATCCTTCTCCATCTCTCTCTTTTATTCTCTCCATTCTCTCCTTCGTTCTGCTTTTCTGTTACTGTATCCTCTCTCATTCTCAATTGTCCTTATTTCTCTCCTTCCCTGCTCTTCTGTCATTCCTTTTCTTCCTCTTCCTCCTTTCTCCCTCCCCCTAATCCTCCCTGCGTCCCTACATCTGCTCTGCATCCCTTCCCCCTCTTTCTGTAGAGTGTCCTGATGGTCAAGTGTTCAGCAGCTGTGCCACCTCCTGCCCCCACACTTGCACTGACCTGTGGCCTGAGACGCAGTGCCTACTGGGGGTTTGCCAGCCAGGCTGCTCCTGCTCATCAGGGAAGGTCAGTGGGAGACGAGAATGTCTGAGTGTTTCTGTGGTGATGCTGGAGGACAGTTTTTGTTAACATTTAAACACCCATTATAAAAAACAACAGAACAATACAAGCATAGGAGCTCTCACACACATACCAAAAAAACAGGGCACCTGTTTCTCCCAGTCTTAAGTTCTTTAGAAGTGATTGAATCGCATGTTGTGGGGTCAAATAAGACATAAGACTCTAGTAGGTAATCAGTTTTGAGTCACCAGTAAAGTAAATTGATTGCCATCCTTGTATTGAAATTATATAACAACTGTATATATATATAGTATACTGCATAAAATACTGACCTAGATGTGTGCACGATTGCTGTATCTAGTTCTACAGTATAATAATAAACTATTTTATACAGCACCTTTAAAGTGGCTTCTCAAAGCTCTGAGAAGGTGATTCTAATATCCTAAAGGATAGGTCATGCAGAGCTTTATAGGTGAGCAGGAGGATTGTGAAGTCCTAAACCTGATCAGGATTCTGGTGGCTGAATTCTAGACATACTGAAGTTTCTTCAGTGTGGATTTAGATACTGCAGCAGGTAGGGCATTAAAGTAATCAATACGAGAGAAAACAAAAGTTTTGACCAGCTTTTCAGTAACAGTTAGCAACAACATATAGCAAAGTCTGGTGATATACAGTACATATTACATTCTATATAAAGTTATATAAAGTCAAATTAAGTTTCAGTTCATGCAATATTGACATAAAATCAATTATCTGTGGAACATGGTCCACCATTGTGAAATACATTATTTTCATGATCACCCCTCTTTTCCCGTCTGCCTTTAAAAATGTGCTTAATTATTGAAGTCACTCTTTATAAATTGATATAACTTTAGATTTGGTGTTTGGAACATTCTGTGTTTCCCAGTTTATCTTGGATAGGCTCATGCTATTTCACCAGCAGTGCTCACCAAATGCTCTGTCTCAGTGCATCTCCTTAGTCTAATTTTGAAACTCATATTAATGTACCGTGCAATACCACCCCTCCTTAAGAGTCAGATTTATTTCTGTTCTGACAGAAACTTTCGTTTGGCAAAGTTCCACCAGAAACTGAGTGCTGTTACATGCAATTCAGGAGCCAACTCTGGGTAGAGGTTCATCTACCAGAGGGAGTGTCAAACAAATGTAGACAAATGGACAGTGAAGGGCTAAAACTTTTAAAGAAGACATATTCTTAATTACTGTACCATTATATTTGCTGCCAAGCAGCAATCTTAAGAATATACCTACAAAACATAAAAACTACTGTATATTTATTTTTTATATTTAAGGGAACTTGCTTAAAAATTTGAAATGGTTTGACATTTGAAAACTAATACAGAACTGCTGTATGACATACTGACTTTTGTACTTACAGTAACTGAAAGGCATATGAGAAAATCTCTAAGAGTAAAAAAAACAGTGGTCATTGTGGCACACTATCAAAGCTGTTGCTAATTATGTATCTCCAGGTCCTGCATGAAGGCTCCTGTGTCCCTCCTGAGATGTGTCCCTGCTCTCTGTTGTCCCTCTTGCCCTCCTGGACCCTCAATCTGACCCTGGAGCAGCGGCAGGAGGAGCATCCAGCAGGGACTGTTCTGCAGCACCACTGTAATAGCTGGTAAAGTGAAATATTTCCGAAGTTTGTCCACTGGGACGTAATACAGTTCTGTTCAACGAAAAAGCAATAGGTTTATTCCATGCTGAAAAGAGAAGAAGGAAAACACAAAGTTTCAGCTGTGGAGCCTTCTTCGGGTGTGTACATGTTTGTGTTTTCAGAAATTTCACCAGACTTTGCCCTACAGGTATGTTGTCCTATGTCCTATGTTGTGTCCTATATTGTGTTTTCTTTCTTCTCTTTTCAGCATGGAATAAACCTATTACTTGCTCCTTTGCAGTCTATGCATACTGACGCAGCTATCCACTTGAACCAGTTCTGTTCAATCTGATAATCCAGCTGGTTAAAGAGTCTGCACTCTTAAAAATGTACAAATCTGCTAAACTCCATGAGCAATTCTAGATTTAAAACAAAACAGTAAACCAATCAATTCCAAGAGTTTGCCCACTCTAACAACCAGGACAACTAATCATCTTCAGGTGTCTGCCTACTTTATCCACTAGTACAATCCAAGAGTGGTATCTACTTAATCAATTGGTAAAGTTATCAACCCTGGGAATATTCAGAGTTTAAGTCAAGGTACATTGATGTACGTCTTGAGTCTAACACCAAGTAAATGAATCTACTCCAAACATCTGTTTTAGCAGTTTCAATAGGAATTAGCAATGATTACATTCCTGCCTTTGTTGGCCACAATATTAGTTACTCAACATACTTGGGCACTATGATACAGTGTACAAATGGTTCGGTACAGGCACATACTGTAACTCTCCACTCACAACATTGTATGTTAATACATTGCAGTGGTTGCATACTGTACATGAGGATATGACAACTCAGTTTCATGGTTATTGGTTCACATTTGTTTTCTTTAACTGTTCAAAATGCTAAATGATGTTTCTTTTTAAATATATTTTTTTTGTAATACATTCTTTAACAATCCTATGTGATTACTGCTACTGTATATATGCATGAGACTGAAATGTAAGACTGTGACTGAAATGCTGAAAGAGCAAAAATCAGATTCAATTCCTACAGATGTTATAAAGTATATTGTTGGATTCATAGGGTAATAATGGTATAATAATGTCCAGTAAGAAAATGGGTTTAGAAGTCAGGCTTGATTAGTTTCGGCTTAAAAACAGCCTGTTTGGGAGTCAACAGCTTGGCCATAGGGAGAGTAACAATCTAGTTCACATATTTTCAATATAACAATGCATGTATTTCCATACCTGTTTTTCAGAAGACATTTTCGCTACTACAAAGGCACATTTTTCACTGCCCAATGCAAGACACCTTCCTCATCACATAACCTCCCACAACACAGATCCCAAATGTATCTGCTTTCTTTGAACTTCTACTCATTTTATTTTTTCTTCTTAACTACTGTTTTAGGGTAACTATCATATTGTAACTATTAAGCAAGCAATGGGTTTTTACAATGCTAAAGTAACAATGAGTAATATTGGATATTTTTTCTGGACCTCAGTAATGAATTGCAAAGTTTTACATGTAAAGTAATGGGAATTTCATTTTCTGTAACAAATTAAGTTAATAAATCAAGGAATGAGTGAATATCTTAATGAGGTGTTTATGCGACTGTTTTACTAAAGACTCATATGACATAAACAGCTTCCTAATGTCAGACCAGAAGAAACTTTACATATTTGCAGTCAATATGTACTGTACTGTATATTTTAATTATATAAGCCTAGAAACTACTTGCTAACTTCAACTGTTAATGTAACAAAACATGAACTATATGTTCCAAAAGTTATCATAGGACAAACTTAAAATGTAACAGGTACAGAAAAGAGAAAAGTGATACAATATTTTCCCCTTAGCCACAGTTTCGCCATTTAACCTGGACTTTATTTGATATTACCAGCTGTTATTCAAATATTTCTATTGCAGCAAAGCACTTAGGAAGCACATGTTTTTATTTCAATTAGGGGAATTGAGCAAGTTTTGTTGATAAATTTATGTGAAGCGCTGAAAATGCTGAAGGATGAAAACTGTAACATCCAATGCAAAATGTATTTGCTTCATGAATCTTTGTGTTACAGGACTTAATGAAAATACCTTTCGCCTCTTACAGTGTGTGCCAGAGAGGCATCTTCAACTGCAGCCAGAACTCCTGTGATGGTAAGATGGACTCCGCCTTGCATGAACCAACTGGCACTGTATCCTCACTCTTATTACTGTCTGGACTTGAAACTGCAATTTCACACTACCTCACATTTTCTTCACTAGCTTCTGCCTGAGGTGGTGTCTATACCTCTCTTCCCCTGTATTTCTGGTGGCCATGTTGGTTCCTCTTTGATTTTAGCCTGTTTATCTATGCCCATGTGTGCATCTCTCCCTCATCTGTGTGTCGCAGTGGACTGTGAGTGGGACAGCTGGTCAGCATGGAGCCCATGCTCAGTGAGTTGCGGCTCTGGTGAGCAGTGGTCTAGTCGTGTTCCAACACGGTCCCGGCAGCACGGGGGGGCAGAGTGTGAGGGGCCGGCAGAGCGCAGAAGATTATGCCAGGAACGCGACTGTGGTGAGTGGTGTGGGAGAGGACAAGCAATTACGTCCATATCGGATTGGCAAGATAATGTCTTAGGTTGTACTTTCAGAACATCCATCCAATTTCTAAGTGGAAGTAGAGTCAGAGCCTATCCCTACAAGCAAAGGCACAAGGCAGGGTACACCCTGGACAGGATATCAGGCCACCTTGGTGGTGGTGGAGGGGAGTCCCCATTACCTGTAAAGCGCTTTGAGTGGAGTGTCCAGAAAAGCGCTATATAAATGTAAGCAATTATTATCTCAGGGCAAACACAGACACAAACGTATATAACTACATAAAACAATAAATACACAGAGATGAAGTCAGGTGAGGTATTTTTGACATTAGTTTACAAGCCCTAAATAAGATCACAACTGAGACACATTCTGAGGCCCTCAATCTTGTTTTGTGACTTGTGTAAACCATTCTTGATGATCACATGTTCACTGTACAGATTTCTTCCTTCTCACACTTTGTCTTTGTTAGCTCTGAGTCCATACTTCTTCAGCCTGTAGAGCACTTTACATAAACCATTTAGATGATCTTAGTTGTGTTTACCTGTAACAAGAATATTATTGCAGTAGCAATATGTACGGGGTATCTCTTGAAGAACTCAGTTCCTTGCTCTTCGCCAGATTGCTAGTGCTGAGGCTATTGCAAAAACTATTATAAAGAAATGAGCCCTTGTATGTGTTGTCAAAAACACCTCTGAGGATTCCTCAATCTCCTTTTGCAAGTAAGCTTGAGCTACAGTAGGTCAATCTTTGTGAAGCTTTCTCATCCTGCTAGAGAAGCAAAAATGTTCTTGATGCATGGTACGTGATGCTGAACAGTGTGGAGCACAGGATTGTAACTTTAAAATCTCCACACATATGGACGTCTCCAGCTTTTCCACTATTTAAAATGGGGATAGTGGTTGTAGCCCACTCACTCCACTTCACTGTGGACAAAATGTCTGAATTCTCCAACCTATGAAACCCCTACTCTGCTTTGGGTTGGATTGCATATGGCACTGGGCAGGGTTTGTGTATTTTAGGACTAATGTTTTTATCTAGTTTCATCTTGGTTTTGATCCCTTCTAGTGTTCCAGTTCCTTTTTCAAAAACTTGCTGCAACTCTGATAGCAACTGTGACATATATCTTAACATAGTGCCCACTTTGAACTCAAAAGACAGAAAAAAATCAAAAATAAACTTTATGTATAAAGCTGAGTGGCAGCACATTGGTACAGTAATTAATATTGCTCCCTCACATCCTTGGAACCCTGGGTTCAATTCCTGGGGTGCCATCAGTTTGCAGTTTGTATGTTTGCATCCATTTTAGCTGGGTATAACCTACATACAGGTAATAATTGGATTCTGGGAAAATTGTGTGAGTGAATGTTTGTGTTTGTGTGTCTGTTTGCCCTGTTATGGACTAGCAACCCATCCAGGATGTGTCCTGCATTGTGCCCATTGCTTGCCGGGATAGGCTCTGGCTCACCTTTGACCCTGAATTAGATAGTTAGAAAATGGATGGATAAATGTACAGTATTATTTCTTGCAAAACGAGTGATGTTTATTTTAAAATCATTTGGTAGGCCACAAAACCTTTGGGATGTTAAATGTGCCACAACCTAAACAAGGTCAGAAAGCACTACCCTCAGCCATTCATTTCTGTTTCTGTCTCTTCATCTCAGTGATTAATGAGCTGTCTTGTATTTTCTCATATGTTTTATCTACTACTTGTACAGCACAGACAGTTCTAAAAAACTGCAGCCCGTTATCAATCTTATCTATTTTATTGTCCCAGTTTTCTTCCTATTCTATTAAATATTTAATGACCCCATTTCATGTAACTACTTGTTATGGCAATTAAAGTATTGAACTAAATAGCTTAAATGCACATATTTAACCTCTTCTGGCTTTATAAAATATACAGTATTTTAATTTTACACACACAAACAGTATATATACTGTGGTGCATTTCCCACTACATACAACATATACTGTATATTTATAAATTATAATGTTTCTGTACTGAGTATCATGACAAATACAACACTACTAGAAGTCTTACGACTCGTCTGCTTCTCTTAGAAATTATACATGGTATCTTTAATTGAAGTGGAGCTACAGACATCATCTGAACCCCTTTATTGCACTGTGACTATGCTGTGTCCAAAGCTCGATAATGTAGCCCATAAACAAATGCAGTGCAATCACTGTGCCTCCTACTGTGACAGATTGCCCGGTGGGAGAGAGATGGAAGAGGGCATCTGAGCAGGTTGCAGTGTGTGAGAGGAGCTGCCAGGACATGTACCTGCCTGGCCCAGTGAACTGCAGCGCCCCTGGTGAATGGGAGGGCTGTGTGTGCGACCCAGGGCGTTATCGCAGTGCTAAAGGAGACTGCGTTTTGGCAGCACACTGCGAATGTGAGGATGGAGAAACACCACGCCAGGTAAGAAGATTACTTTCTAATGCAGCAAAACATTCCAACTACTTGCAGGCAGTTAATCCTCAGAGCTCACATTATTACTTCCCTTTCTCTTTTCTTCATTTTTCCAGGCATACATTTTCATCTGTCTCCCATCCTTAATTTTCTCTTATTTAGTCTCTCACAATGTTAAAGGTGTAAGGGTGCAGTATAAATTTGACTGTCTCTCTTATACTGACTTACTGACAATACTGACTTTTCCTCTGACAGTTTTTCTTTTTGGGTCTTTTATCTTGTTAGCTCACTACAATATTCAAGATCTACTGTAAGTCCTGCTGTATATCGCTATTCAACCAATTCTCTCTCTCTCTGTTTCAGGCAGGATCTCAGTGGTCAGAGGGCTGTGCAACATGTCGCTGTGTCAATGGACTGAAGGTGTGCGAGACTGGTTGCCCTCTAGTGGAGTGTGTGGAGGTGAGGAATCCTTGGGTCAGCAGGGAAGTATTTGATTGGCTATTCTCACAGTGAAGGAGATTCCACTCAGGTTTTAGAAGTCATTGAGGGGTGGAGTCATCAGAAAGATTTACCTGTAATGTATGCAAATCAGCATTTTCACTTGGTAGCCATCAGTGGACAACAAAGCATTAAGAGTATTCTTTTTTTAGATGGTCTTGTTGCTGTGAGCACTGCTGCCTAGCATCTTTTGGGTCCTGGGTAAGAGACTGGCCTGGGATGTCTTCTGGGTTCTGACTTCCTTCCACATGTTTCTAATTGATGCTTTTAAATAGCCTTTATTGTGTCCTAAGGTTCTTGGTGGCTGTGACCCTAAATCACACACACCTCCATCAGTCAATACTTGATGAAAGCACCTTTGACAGGAATTACAGCTGTGAGCCATTTTTGAATATGTCTCTACCTAAGGTACTTTGACAACAAGGATGGTATTTTTTCCCTCTATTCTCCTTTTGAAAACTTGAACCCATTCTTTTGTAACGTTGCCATAGCCAAAATGTAATGTAGTGTCTCTCTGAAGGCACCAGTTCTGTAGGGTTTGGGCATTTACTGGGACAATTATTAATTGTAGCAGTAAATCACAAAAT